ATAAAGAAATCTTAAATGCTTAGGGTCGGTTTCACTATCTTCGTGATTCTAGAGTGGGAGAGCCATGCTTCGGCAAAGAGTAAGTCGAGCCGATCGAACTGATACAAGGACCTCACAAAATAATTATGCGTGAAATAGTGCTGGATTTATTTTTCGCCGTTTCAGTGAGGTTACCTGAGGCTTATCTAATTATTCTTTTAATGCAATACCAAAATCATCTTTCTTTGTCAGATCTTTAGCTTGTCTCTTTCTAGTGCATTCTTTGACCACATTTACAAATAATTATGTTTTTAGTTTTAACAATTATACACTATATTTGTGCTATTTCTCAATCTCTTCGTGATTATCCTGCCGCTCTTCGTTAAATGGTTTTTGATGTGGATGCGGATTATTTTATTAGAAAGTTTCTACTGTTTTACTGCATTTCATGCTACCTTCACCGTTTACATAAGTAATCATTATTCGTACGCACATATACTCGATAAGACACGTAAGTGTGCGTAGTCTCGCGACACCACAGCTGCATACGTTTACACGAGGAGCGTAGGGCGACCATAATCCCGCCGCTCACAATCCTTCTCGGGATTATCGTTTACGACCGTGTAAATTGCGTTTATTTAACCATTATAACAGGACATTAGTCCATTCATACTGACTACAATAAACTTTATCATTAGTTTCAATGGTTACTAAAAAAAAGATATATTCAGAATTTGTCACAGGGATATTAAGTGTAGGAGGGCCATGGGTCGGCCCGAATAGGCAGGCTCGACCGGCGTGAAACAACCACAGAGTGACAATAAATCCCTCCTTTCCATCCATCGCTCCCCAAACCTTGAATCTCCAAAACCCCTCATCGCCGTAATCCACTTACAACTCCTCCTGTGTTGCGGATGTCCATGAGCGGTGCTGATTGCGTAAGTACCACCAGAACATGTGTCTGCTAGTTTGCATATCACCAAAAAACATGGACAATCATAATGACAAAATGCAACTAAAAACTTCTAGGGAAAAGAACAATGATTTTTTGTCTTTTTATCTCACTCTCATAAAATTGAACTTGCAGCGTGTCTTTCATAAACTTAATACCATGACTTATATGTAACTATAACCTACTGTTAGATATTCCACTCACTAACAGTATCGTTTAAAGAAAAAATCATCGTGTAAGTCGGCCATATTGAATCTACCAATATGTCAAACTCCATTGAACCATTCGAAACTTTTTGCTGAACATTAACAAGCGCCAATCAATCGTCATAGACTTTCGCATCATTAAATTATTAGGATCATCACGAAGTGTACCTAGTTATTTAAATAGCAATTTAAAACCATCCTTTCTGACACTTAGTATGGGAGAAACCGTAATTAATTCGCACGATATAAATGCTAAATCGATATCTCGTCACGAATCACTTAGTAAATCAACAAAAGTAATTATAATTCCAGTCGGAAGCCAGACTATAGACAGCGTTAACGACGTGACACAACAAAAACTGCTAATGGCCATCAAAGAACCCTTTCTTTAAGTAAACGAAACGGCAATTATTACCAACGGTGGAAAATTAGGGGTTTTCTTAACAACTGACCACAATTAACACCTAGAGCTATTAGCGCTGTAATTTTCTTTTAGTTTAAGTGATTTTTGTAATGTAAACGAGTCGTTGATATGACATTTAATTACAACGTGTCCGGGTATGTCGAACGCCTCTCTTAAATCGACGGTCACGGGTCGCATGCAATTAAAGCACATAATATTACACACATTTTTACTCGGTAAGTCGTGATGAAAAGTGCTTTACGATTCAGACTATAAGTCTAAAAATGTAAGCCTCATTATTTTAGAACAGAACTGCATTTTTTTTATCCAAACGTTCTGGTCTTGTCATTCCAAAATCTGTGCAATCGCCACTCAATCCCAATACTATGCTTTATGTTCAACTATTAAAAATTCAAACAGAGAAACTGTTAATGTTCCTAAAAGGGAACCATTTAACATTTGCGACGACACTTAAAAATTCGCACAAAACAATATTGCGCACTAAACAAACACTTTAGAACTCATTTTCCAAGACCCTTCACACAATAAAGAAGAAAATGGAACTTAATTTATTTTCGTATAAAGTGCATTCTCGCGTGTGATGGTGCACAAGGGGTATCGTAAACCGGGGTGTTTGGTACAAAAACGTTTATTAGCACATTTTGTCGCAAGTGGAGCGTGACAGCGATAAGTGACAAGCTATTGAGGTGTTTGGGGTGAGCATCTATTGACTGAACATTGGGAATGTGAAGGGAAAACAGTGAAAAAATGTGACAGTAAATACCAATGCCATTTAAATTGTGTTTATTTAGTACTTTTGTAGTAGTTTGGGCCAGGATATAATTCTTAAAAATGAATATTTTTTTATGTGATGGTAAGCAATCAACAGCATCAATAAGGTATTTGAATATTTAGGCATTGGACCTCCGATAACTGCACTCACACAGCGAAACTCAACGCTGTGGTTGTTTCACGCTGGTATTCCGTAAGGCCGTGGTATCACTCCGGTCAACCCGAAGCATGGCTCTCCCACATTTAACAATTTACAACATTTTGTTCAAGATTTAAGAAAACAAAATTTTCAATGATTAAGACTTCAATTTTATCCCCCAGAACCATGGTCACCCTACGATCAACGCTTCGAATTCGATTACCATCGCTTTCTCATTGTTGTCTATTTGACGCTTAATGCACTCCTCTATTGTTGAATAACCAATTACAACTAAACCCTCATCCTTAACCACTTCAACTGAAAGAGAGACCAGCGTAAATTTGTCATCAGCTTCGACAGGTCAATTGTAAAAGACCAGGGAAAATAGAACCCTACATTTAAATAGTTTATTCCGTTAAAGAGGTCTTTTTAAATTGGAGTGTGACAGAATAGAAGTGTTTATGTGCGACTGACTTTATAAAGGAGAGAATCAATTTGTATGGAAGATCTGATAAGATTATGATAAGGTTTCAATTGTTAGGAGTTACTTAATGTGTTCTGCACATTTGTCGATTCGTGGAGCCGTGATATGTTACGGAAATTATAAGGGTTATATCAAACTCGACCTATTGTGTTTCTCCAAATAATTATACGTTTTTATTGTTGATCACAATTAGAATTCGCTTAGGTACATCGACCTATATTAAATTGCATTACATAAATTTTTTGGTAAATTTTCTGTAGTTTTTGTATCTGGGCTGCTCCCATTTGTCTAGCAGTATCTTTTGTATATTTAAAGCTTACGTCATTTTGTCTCCTGCATTAAATTTGCCGAAGGAAGGAGTAACTATTTCGTGTTTCTTCTCCTTAAATAATATTTTCGTTACGGGGTCTAAGGCAAAGGCGTCGGACTACCTTGGTGTTTCAGTGGTTGTAGCTACTACAGATCCTGGCTTAAAGAAGTCGCAGCGGTAAATGGAGATTGCAGCTTGCTTGTCTCAATAATTTAGAGCGTAAAAAGTACAGGTTTATATACAAAAATGGTAGGACTGTAAAAACTAAGGACTTAGTCATCAAAAATACATTAAATGAACCAACAAATACTAGAGACGCCATAAATAAACGAGAACTTAGTATGGCACCTACATCACTTACGTCAGTGGGGTGTCGGTGTCTGGCGCTAGTTTAAGCGAATTACCGGCCGCTTCCGTTGCAGACGAGCCTCCGACGACACTACTCTATCAAACTGAGTCGAAAATTTTAGTATTTTGATAGAAGAAGCAAGTTGTATATTGCCCATGAATAACAAAAATGACAGAGCTAAACTTAGAGTACACAATTTAAGTATTAAGGATTGGAAAGGGAAAAGAAAATAAAAAGATAAGAAAGAGAAGAATGAAGAAAAAGAGATGGAATATGATACGATAGCTGATAGAGAAGAAAAGCAAAAAACTATTTAACTAGGACTCAGGACACTAATAAAGAGGAAATAACCCTTTTTGTACGATCTTTTAGTTAGTAGATTGTCTTAGCTAGTAAATTAAATATTTGATGACCAACGCCAATATAATCCAAAGTTTACGTTTGTCACCTTTTTCAAATTGGTCTTTTTATGATGTCGTGTACATTTGATCATTGCAGGCAGCTGTATATTACAATGTAACTGTTGTTAGCTAAGGATTACACACTACACAACACAACAATAATAAATCGTCGACTCCGAAGCAAAAACTACAAATGAACGAGTGGAACTTATTGCTGTTAACAAAAGAAATGACATTTTTGCACACACTATTAAAATCAGCTTATCCTATATTGAAAACCAAGTGTCAGATTAGTTCACAACCGCATTATTCGGCAAATAGCCGTTTTGCAAACTTATTAATGCGGATCCAAGGACTCTAAACGAAGTGAGTAAGAGCCAAAATCCGTCTGCCATAATCATTTTGCTGTGTCATAAGAAAGCAATTAAGATACGACCAGTTTAATAAGATCTCTGAAATTGGTAGCGTTTTCTGTAATGCATTAGTTTTTGTTCGTTGATGTCAAGTGGGGAGGGTCAGGATTTTTGGTGGGGCATCTATACGCTCGACATATGTTCGGCCTGCAAAGCCAAAAGGGGATTGAGTGGCATAAGCCCCTTGGGTTCATTATTGCTCCTTTACCCTTTCCCTTAGGGCCCTTCACTCAAAGTTTACAAAATGTATTTATTTCACTTAATATTAAGAGAAAATCGTTTAGTTCGTTCTCTATTAGCTTAAATTGTAATTTTGGTGGAACGAATGTGTCTAATTGTGAGAATAGAATAGAGCTGACATTAACTAACATCGATTTTTCTAATTCATGAAATAATTTTCGAAGATTAATCGCTGGAGGTCCAAGTTCATTATGAACCATCACGAATAATTTTAGAAACGATCATAATGAGCATTATTTTGAGTTCTCCAAAACCATACAATATATCATTATCAGATACCATATCCCCAAATTCAGTCCATGCCTAAAAAGAACGTTCAATTGATTACTAACCTGTACCCTGACTTCAGGCAGGTTGACTTTCATCGCAAGTTCCTCTCTGGAGTATACATCAGGGTAGTGGCTCTTTTCAAAAGCCCTTTCCAGTTCATGTAGCTGGTACGTGGTGAATGTTGTTCTGTTCCGTCGATGTTTCTTCTTGTTGTCTGCCGCTGAACCAGGACGGGCTGATTCGTCGTCACTGCCTGGTGGAGACTTGTCATCGGTTGGAGTTCTCTGACTGTAGCCATCGTTGCTGTTGCAGGAACCCTCGCCTGGAATGGAAGGGTCAGGTCTTAACATATTTTTTTTAAAAGAACTGTTAAAACAGTCTTTGCCGCTAATTAACTCTATTTAAAATGTGAAATATCATTTATGGTGCTAGCGAGGGGATTTAGTATGTCCCTATCATTTTTGATAAAAAAGATAAATTGAATAAGTTAGACTAGTTTTAATGCTGGCTTTATTTATGAAACCAAAGATAAAAATACACGTAGCATAGTTTATGATTACAGGTATGTTGTGAAGTGTTAAAGCAATTGATATTGTAGAAGACTTCAAAATTTTTAAAGAATCTTTTCCAAGGAATCCTTAAAATACATCTTATAGTTTAACAGTGATAGAACTTTTACTAATGAAGGTTAATAATAAAACCCTAAACCACTATTGAAATACATTTATTTGTTGTCTAAACAAACATAACATTACTTGAAATCGCATTATAATTTATTCAGTGTAGAGTCGGCACAGCAATTACGCAGCGATCCAACAAGGGAATACAGTAATAAATCAAACGAAACAATTTGAGCTTGCGTATGCTAATGCCGGCCGTGTCTTGCCGATAATGCAATTATATTCAAATATGCTACAAAGACTGGATACGTAGAACATACGTGGATTGTAGCAGAATTTGTTGATATAGTTTAAAGATTACAGTACCTACTCTATAAATAGCTGTTTTGATATTATTTAGAAGCTGGCTAGCAGTCCATATGTGTGAAATATTGAAGATTTCTCTTAAGCAAATATTAAAGAATGCTTCCAATATTGAAATATTTTTCTTCCTGAAAGAAGAGAGCTACCGAAAAATCCAGAAAAAAACACCAACCACATTAACATTATACCTATACATTATGTGACCAATACAAGATGGCGCCTAATCTGTAAGAGGATCTGAATCTGAATCTGATATTTCAGCGGTTTAACTGGGCTAAAGTAGTTAGACCCTACCATTAAAGAGAGACCCCTCCCGTATTCTTCTAGATACCTATATAAATAAGTAAACAGCCTGTAATTCAATCATTTCAAATTAGGGTTTTGGTAAAAAAACCTACTTCGTACTAACGTTAAAAATGTTTAAGTTAGTGAATATACATTCGTTACTTTTTCAATTGAGCATTGAGTGAATCAGAATACAATTTAGGAAAGAGATACAATTTAATCTAAAATAAGTGAATAGCACATAGAGTTTGATTACAGATAATCCTGAATTAGAGAAGGTAGGTTAGGATCCATCCCTGTGGATGAAGATTTTGGCAAAAACTACAAACAGAATAACAACAAATTCGAAATTTAAAACAAATATTGAAATTCGAATATCAACAATTTTACCAACAGCATAAGCGCGATATAATCGCACAGTGGCCTAAAAGTGGTTCGTAGCGCAGACAATAAATCTGAACACAACTTGTATCATACATCATCGCGTATCGCTTCATCTGCAAACCAAGGCCTTCCTTACACGCCTATTATATTATCTGACTTGTAAAACATGATCGTTTTATGTTTGTTTAGTCATCCTGTAGCTTCTTTTATTCCATTTACTCTTATAAAAAAGAAATAATGTATATATTATTTTTGGACCAGACTAGAGGAGTGAAAATGATGGAATAAGGATGATTTAGGCAATATACCTATAGGTATATGTCAGAACAGGACACAAATAATTATCTAATAGTGTGCTTAAATAATCTATAATTGATAATAATATTATAAAGCTAAAGAGTCTGTTTGTTTGAACGCGCTAATCTCCGGAGTACCTAATGTTTGTTAGTCCTTTTAGCGCGGAAGGCTATAAAACATCACGATATCTTTAGGCGCTGAGCAGCGGGTAAAAAACGCGTGATTATTACCTATAAACTCAAAAATTGTGACCTAAGTTATGGATGTTGGGGTCAGGTGGATATATCTTCATAACATATATCAATTTAAAAAAATATATATAAAGTTTAGAAGAAAATAGAGGTTCCTTCTAATATTATAAATGTGAAAGTTGTGACGGATGGGCATTTGTATCTGTTTCACTTAAAAACAACTTGGATGAATGGATTCTGTTAAAAATTGCCACAGAGGTAGATTATAGTCTGGATAACACAGCTGAAGCATCAGAAGCTAATTCGTTCATACTAAAATGTCGCGTGCGTTAAAATACAAAAGTGCTTATACTAAATTTACAATAAAATATTCATACAAAATATGAACGTGCCGAAAATCGAGTTCCATCGAGGGTAACTACTGGAGTAATTGTTTGCGGAAACTCTGCATTTATCACTTCCATTATTTTGTCCACAGTGAGTGATTGAGTGGCCCATTGGGGTGGGGTTTTTAATACACGAGCCGATTTAGAACATTATGTTAATAGGTACCTAAGTACTTTTGAATGAAAATATTATTGACTGTCATACTGGTGGAGTCGGTATGAGGGTCGGTAATGCCATACTCGTACATACCTACTGCGTAAACTTTATCAGCTTTCCTTCTTACATCACCTTAATCCACTCTGGAGGAGTCTGGTCCAAATACACGTCATTGGTTTGTTTATTTTTTAGTAAAAAGAAATTTTCGAATTTATTTCCGAACCAATACAGTCTTTGAGAAACGTTCATACTCCTTTTTAAAAGGCCGTCAACGCACCATTAACGGACGGGAACATGGGATCACTTACCAACAGGTAATGCTTCTACTCGTTAGCCTCCAATCCCATAAAAAAAGAGCTTCTCGAAATATCATTTATCGTGTAGCCATACAGCAAAAGTTCTCAAATTCTCTCCTGTTACACGGGATTTATAAGGGGACTAGCGAAAAGTGGATCATTTTAAACATAGGCAGATAAAATGTAGATATAGAACAAAACGCGCAAAGTCATGAAAAACTAATTGTAGCGTGCACACAAACGCATTATTAATAAATCATACATTTTTAAACTCTCAACCGACTACCGTATTGATGGTCCCACGTTACAAATGAGATAGCGCCACAAATATTTTTGATACGTCATCTGTCATTTGTAAAAACGATTAAGAAATCAAAAGTGAACAAGACTGACAAAACATCCCTGCACGCTGTAGTAGATTGAGCGATCAAGTCACAACATCGTGCCATCTCCGTCACTCTTATCGGGTTTTAAGGCTGTACGAAAGAGAGCGTGGTGTCACATTTAGATTACCGAGGCAGATTACAAGCGGCATACAAAACAAATAAAAATATTGTAGGCAACGCATTAAGACATTTTACACTTATCACGATACGATCTGAAACCGTATTTTTTTCCTTTTTGTAATAATTATCGATAATCTGGCAACACTCGCGAGCATTATCGTCTATAATGGCTTGTCTTGTTGTTTTTTAATGTGGTAACCCTAATCATGTGTCAGATTTGCCGTGTTCGTATATATTAAAGCTCTTCGTAGCATTAATGATTTTTTCAAAATGGATTCTTGATTGAATTATTGATTTGTATTTTGAAGAATTAATATTGGAAATTAGATTCAATCAGCATTTAAATAATGGAAGGTTTAGTCGAGTTTGGCTTTTAGCGGATTAAAAGTTAAAAGTATATATAACCTTTTGCTTGGGATGCTAGCTTTATTTAAAGGTTAATATAGTATCTTTCTAACGTTTCTGCCAACCGAAGTTGTTGTAAATAAAACTACCTTGCAGAACATTAAAACATATCTTTCATTTCATTATTAATTTATCTACCTAATAACCGCATATGTCTTGTATTATTTATTGTTATTATTTCTTATACCTATGTATAGAAAACTGTTTATAATTAAACTTCAAAAATCGGCACATCAATTTTTAGATTCTGTATTGAGATTCTAGACAATCCAGATTTTATATGAACAACAGACTTAAGCAAAGACACACCTAAGTTACCTATACTAATATAAAGATGTAAAATTTGTAAGTTTATAAGTTTGTATGAAGGGGGTAATATTTGGAACCGCTAGTCGGATTGCCAAAACTCTTTCACTGATACTTAGATAGCTACAATGTTCCCTGCTATAGGCTATAAAACATCACGCTACGATCAAATCGAGCCGAGAAGCGGGTGCAACCGCGTGAGAGTAGCTAGTCTTTGATAAACATATAAAATAGACAAAACTTACCAGGCAAGCATGTCTTTCAAGCGATGGGTCCCCTAAATTTAAGTACTCATGTACCACTAACCAACCAGCTCACTCCGATTTACTTTTTAATTGATAATGATTACACGCTTGATGCGATGTTGTTTTTACTTCGCGTTCATTTGACACGCTACTTATGAGTTATGACATTTGCAAATGTAATGTTTAACATAATTTAATTCAATTCAAATAATAATGTAATGTTTAACATAATTCGATTATCTCACTCTAATTGATGCTTTTAAGTTTAATTGAAGTCATAAATTGGGATGTCAGATTATAAAAGAAATGTCTGATTTATTAAAAAAAAGGTTTTTTATCAGTTTTCTTTTTTTTTTACTTTTAAGTAGCTGAGTACTTTCTTGTTGTTTTAATGTAGATGTCGTAGTTGTTTGAACTTGGCGAGTACCAATGTAGCTTTTTCAATGTTATATATTTTTTTTTGTTGAGGGAAAATTATTAGATGACTTTTCTTATCCAGGGAGAGGCGAGAGGGAGTGTAAGAGTCTAACCTAAAAACCCCTCGTTACTCCTCCTGAACATCGGCTCCGTTGGGCCCCATCTGTAGTGAATAGTGATCTATTGATTCTTTGAGGCAAAGTTATACATATATACTTATCTGTTGATTGTCAATTGAGGTGTATTTAGACACCAATGGCAACTGGCGAAGGAAAACATCGCCAGGAAACTTAAACTTATAATTTCTAATTATACGTTTGAAACCGTTAATCCGTCTTGAGCAAATGTAGTGATTTATGCTCAAACCCTCCTTTTGGGAAGTGGTCTTTGCTTAGCAGTGAGCACTTATAGACTGTTGATGATAATGATGTTGATCTTCTTATGTTTCATGCTGTTTGTCAAGA